AGCATAAAAAAATACTTGCTGAATCCACCTGTGTTAGGGGCGCCAATGCTTGGGAAGCCATTGATACTCTACATCGCGGCATAGGAACGTTCACTTGGAGCACTACTTGATCAAGAGAATGAGAAAGGAAAGGAACCAGCCTTGTACTACCTTAGCCGAACTCTGATAGCAGCTGAGATGAACTATACGCCTGTTGAGAAAATATGCTTAGCGTTACTTTATNCACGCCGCATGTGCAAATACAGAAGATGCTGAAGTTATTTAGTTCATTTGTAAAAATTCAGCACTAAATAAGTTGAAGTATTTTTGTCCTGGATTCATTACTTTTGTCATTAAGCTTTTTCAAAAACTTCAACAGAAGATGTTGAAGTTATTAAGTTCATTTGTAAAAACTTCAGCACTAAATAAGCTGAAGTTTTTTTGTCCTGGATTCATTAGTTTTGTCATAAAGCTTTTTTAAAAACTTCAGCAGAAGATGCTGAAGTTATTTAGTTCATTTGTAAAAATTTCAGCACTAAATAAGCTGAAGTTTCTTTGTCCTGGATTCAATAGTTTTGTCATAAAGCTTTTTCAAAAACATCAGCAGAAGATGCTGAAGTTATTTAGTTCATTAGTAAAAACTTCAAAACTATATAAGCTGAAGTTTTTGAAAAAGCTTTCTAACATACTAGATAAATAATCACCTTATTCTTTCATAGTGTATTACTACTATAAAATAATCAGATTGCCAACAGTATCTAAATCATAAATTTTAGAAACAATAAACGTGAAAAGAACAGAATTATCATGAAAAGAATCACTAAGTGTGACCTTAAACTTCCCGTACGTGGAAATATTTACAAATTAGTGTCTACTAACTTACATAATTATTTATAATTTATTTTTAAATAATCTGATAAACATACTTATGGCAATCATCCCATGAACTGAAGTTTAATAGCAGCACCAACAGCAGCAGAAGAAAGAAGAAGAAGAAGAAGAAGAAGAAGAAGAAGAAGAAGAAGAAAACGAAGGTGGAGAAGGAGGAGGAGAAAGGGGGCTGAAGTTGTTTTAAAAGTGGGTACAAGTTAAAATTTTTTTTGAAAAATGGGTATAGATTAAATGGGGGCGACCAAATAGGGCGCGTGCAATTTTTACGAGCCTGGCAGTAAGCACTTGGACCATGGCACCTACCGCAACTTTGGTACTCAGTGTGCCACACTTTGATTATATCCCTTTTTTTCATGAAATATCAGTGCAATACTATTGCTAATATGAAATTCTACCAGAGCGACCGGGTGGTGTACCACCCCTTCCCTATACATAAATCTGCCCCTGCTTAAAGGAACTGTATAGTTCTCCTTTTGTTTTACCTTTTTTCTTATTTCTATTTTCAAATTTAATAAGTATATTAATTAATAGGAATGAACAACCAAATTGGGCTAGTAGTGATCAGAAGGACGCCACCTTTAAATGGGCGAGTTTATGTTTTCCCACTCGTTATTACATTATAAATAATATAATAACTACTCCAGCCCTTTAAATTATGTGACACCGTTCAATCTCGAGAGTCACCTTTCAAAGCTTTCTCTGCTCCTCCAAAGGAAGCCACCTATAAACGAGCAAATCCTCCTTTCAAAGTTTTCCCTTCTTTAGTTTAATTTTTTTAATTTTAACTATCGATCTTGAGCTAATAGAAAGTTTTCAGTAAATACTTTTCTTTGTGCTATTCTCTACACTATCCTCCTCCATGAAACTTCAAAGATTCATAACTTGATTGACAGAATTTGTTTGACACAGAAGTTTTCAAAGTCTTGTACTACAGAAAATAAAATAGCTTCTTTGCTTTGTTGACCAGCCTATGAAAATGAGTAATGCTTTATTCCCGATTGTCGTTCGTTGGGGCAATCTTGCTTGATTGGATTGGAGAGCATGCGTCTGGCTTAAGGCCTTTGCCTTTGCAGCCGATATGGATTAATTAAGGAGAAATGACACCAGGTAGCCCTATTTAGGAATTAGCCAGTGCATCCTGAATTTCAATTTCTCAGTTTAATTTTTCAGGATAAAAAGTCCTGAGTGTTGAAATGTTAGTTAGAGTGTTAGCTATTGTATTAGAGTGTACAGCTGGATGCCAGCTAAGCTAAGTTAGTGGAGCATTAGTTAGTTAAGTAGGTACTTAGCAGTAGCTTATTTTGTATGTAAATACACCAATGTACAATGTAATAACAACTTTAACAGAAATAAAGAGAAACATTTTCCTTCTCTTTCCCTGTGTAACTGCTTCTCCATCTCTATAGCTCAGCAGCTCAATCTAGATCTAGGATTTTATCATGGTATCAGAGCCCGTGTTTGAAGATCCATGCATCGTTATCAAGTTCCTAGACTCTTAGCTGCATCCAGTAATTGAGTTGGAGCAATTTTCAATATCCTTGAAACTAGGTCTTAATCGATAATCAACAGCTGCATTTTCTCTGTTCTTCTTCATCTAAGCTCGATTATTGCTCAACAATGGCAATCGAGAGTGAAGAAATTGATACAAGTGCAGCAACAGTCGGAGGAGGTCCTATCTTAATTGATCAACATCATCCACTGTTCCTTCAACAATGCGATACTGCAGGTAGCTCTTTAATTTCAGTCAAATTAACTGGACCTGAGAATTATACACTGTGGAGTAGTACAATGCATGTGAGTTTACTAGGAAAAAGTAAGCTAGGGTGTGTGGATGGTAGATACCCTAAAGAGAAGTTTGATATAACTCTTCACGAATTGTGGAGAAAATATAATGCTATAGTACTCTCATGGATTATGAATTCAGTAAGTGCTGAGTTGTTAAATGGCATGGTGTATGCCTCAAGTGCTCACAGAGTGTGAATGGACCTAAAAGAGAGGTTTGATAAAGCCAATGGCTCTCGCGTGCTGTATCTTCACAAACAGATTGCCACTCTGACTTAAGGGATATCCTCTGTGTCAACTTACTTCTCTAAGTTCAAGGAACTTTTGGCAGAGTTTGATGCTCTTATGCCCTACCTTGGGTGTGGCTGTGAGGAGTCAAAGAAGTATGTTGAGCACTTCCAATAGCAACGACTATTGCAGTTTTTGATGGGGTAGAATAAGTCTTATTCACAGTCTAGCAACCAAATAGTGAACATGCTGCCCAATCCTTCTATTAATAGAGCCTATTCCATGATCATTTCTGAAGAGAGCAGAAGGCCTATGTGTCAGACATCCCAAATTTCTAAAGTAACTGAAGGAATTTTTCTGTTCAGTAGCAAAAATATAGGTTTACCAAACAATGGCACATGTATATTCAGTGGGAAAGGTCATAATAACTTTTTAGGAGGCTCTACAAGATGGAACAACTACTCTGGTGGACAATCCTATGCCGGAGGAAACAATTATAGACAAAAATGAACTCTCTATATTGTGACTACTGCAATTTTAAGGGACACACTAGAGAGAACTGCTACAAGTTAAATGGATATCCCCCTGACTTTAAAGCTAAGAAGAAGTTTGGCTCAGGGAATGCAGTACACTATGCTCAGGATTCATCTAATGGTGCAGGTAACAATCAAGTTGTTATTGCAAGTTCTTCACAGGTACAACATAGTACTATAACTGGACAGGGGACTCAAAATGTGAAGCTAAACATTCCTCAGTTCACTCAGGAACAACATCAAGAGATAATTCAGCTATTGGGAAAAGGGAGTGAAGGCAACAGTTCAACTACACCAGTGTCAACATGTATGGCATCTTGTGTAGTGAACTCATAAGTGTTGGCTAAGTGGATAGTAGACTTGGGTGCTTCAAGCCACATGGTGAATAGCCTTAATTTGTTGGTTAATCCTAATTTGATTGCTAATAATAAAGGTGGTACAGTTCAATTCCCTACAGAAATATAGCTCACATCAACCATATAGGATCCTCCTACATTATTTAGGTCAAAGGATTAGTAGTGTCCTACATATACCTGATTTCAAATAAAATTTGTTCTCTGTCTCAAAGCTAACAAAGGAGATGAGATGGGTAGTGATGTTCTTTCCTGAATTCTGTATTTTTCAGGAACTCTTCAGTGGGCAGGTAAAGAGGATTGGTAGAGAAGATGATGGGTTGTATGTGTTCTACTCTGGAGATGTCAGTACAACTGGATTTCAAGTTCCTAGTACAATTCCTAAACCATTGGTTCCTAAACCACAACCTACTGTAAATATGATCAAAAACCATAGAATAATGGATGTAGCCTTGTGGCATAAGAGATTAGGGCATACACCTGAAATGACTTTGAGGAACATAGCTGTATTTCAGGACTGTGAATGCAATAACACTACTGAGTCTTGTACTGTATGTCCTTTGGCTAAACAAACCATACTTCCATTTCCTTTGAGCACTACTAACACTAATGTTTGTTTTCATACATTGCATGGTGATGTAGGGGACCCTGTAAAGTTCCTACTTATGATGGCAAGAAGTATTTTCTTACTCTTGAAGATCACTACTCTAGATATTATTGGATATTCTTGCTACCTACTAAGGCAGGAGTGATTGTTGCTCTTAGATCCTTTCTTTTAACGATTCAGAATGTTTATTCAGCCTTTATGAAGATCTTTAGATCAGATAATGGGAGTGAATTTCTTAACTCTGATGTGACTAAGTTATTAAAGTCTAAGGGAATTATTCATCAAAGCTCTTGCATATATACTCCACAGCATAATGGAGTTGCAGAGAGGAGACACATGTATATTTTAGATGTTGCCAGGTCTCTAAGGTTTCAGGCAGCTGTTCCTCTTAGATTTTGGGGAGAGTGTATTACCACAGTTGTGTATATCATAAACAGATTGCCCTCAGTTGTGATTCAAGGAAAATCTCCCTTTGAAGTTTTACTTGGTCATGCTCCTTCATTAGAGCATATGAAAGTCTTTGGCTCCCTTGGCTATGTTACAGATGTGAGGAAGTCTGAAAAATTTGCTCCCAGAGCAATTCCAGGTGTATTCTTAGGCTATTCTATGACACAAAAGGACTAAAAAATGTATGGTATTCAATCCAGGATCTTCACTGTTAGTAGAGATGTAGTGTTCAAGGAAGATGTATTTCCTTTCAAGTATGCTCACACTACATTTTTTATATTTCTTGTCTGGGATCTTACCTCTGCTATTCTCTCTTATCCTGAAAACAAATCATCATCTCAACAATCTCAACTCATTCCTTCTACTAATTCTTCACCTGGTGATGAGATTCCTCTCAATAACACAACAAGTAGAACTGCAACAGACACTATTGAAACATCGATTGCTGGTGATCTTAATGTCTCAGTGTCTCTACCAGATGAGTCAAGCTTGCCCTTATCTTCACCACTGCCTGCTCCTGAGGCTCTTCTTAACAGAAGGTCCATCAGAGATAGCAGACCTCATATTTGGATGAGGGACTATGTCACTCACGACAAAGGGAAGGCCCATTGCTGCTATACTATCTCCAATTGTGTTAGTTGTGGTAATGTCTCATCATCCTTTGGCAGAGCCTTGGCAGCCTACTCTATCATTGTTGAACCCAAGACATTTGTTGAAGCTATCAAAGATCCTAAGTGGATTGCTGCAATGAAGGATGAAATCTTAGCTCTTGAGGAAAACAACACTTGGAGTATAGTAGCTTCGCCTCCAGGAAAGATGCCCATTGGCTGCAACTGGATCTTTAAAGTTAAGTACACTTCTTCAGGAGAGATAGAGAGATATAAGGCAAGGCTTGTAGCCAAAGGATACAGCCAGCAGGAAGGTCTGGATTATACTGAAACCTTCTCTCCAGTGGCTAGAATGGTCACTTTGAGGTTTGTTTTGGCCATAGCTGCTGCCAAACAGTGGTTCATCTATCAGATGGATGTCTATAATGTTTTTTTGCATGGAGAGTTGCTTGAAGAGGTATACATGGAGGTTCCTAATATTTTTTCCAGCCAGGGAGGGAAACAGATGGCTGGCAAACTTTGAAAGTCCTTGTATGGGCTTAAAAAGGCCCCTAAACAGTGGAACAAGAAGCTTACATATGCATTGGTTCAACTTGGATTCACTCAATGTCACGACCCAAAATCCACTAAGGGTCGTGGTGGCGTCGGACACCTCTGTCAGGCCAGCCAACTAGATTATCAATTAATTCCTCTTTTAATACTTTTAAAAATCTAAGGTTTTTCCTTCCATTTTCATAAATAAAAGTTCACTACTTGAATTNCTCCCTCTACACTCATCCCGAGCGACCTCGAATCACGAGACCATGCTGTCTCAAATCCTATGAACTGACTCATATCTCTCAAATGCCAAGCCCAAAACATCATAGAGCGTCCTGAGTCTCCATTCGTAAGTTGTTGCATAAGCTTGATTCTCAACTGCGCCTATAGGCTCGAAATCATTAAGTATTACACTTCATCTTTTGAATTTTCACTAGGACCGCTGCTGAGAGCCACCCGCTCTGACTTGGCCCCGAATATAATCAACTCCATAAATCTTATAACACATGAATGCCCTCTCGACGAGGCACCCGGTGGAATCACTTCCTTGAAACCTGCATTTATACAAGGCATAAATCCTGAATCCTTTCCCAAGTCTGAACATGGGCCAATAAGGCCAGTCATAACATGCATTTCAACAATCCCTTTGCTCAATTCATCTCTTATGTTCTTTTCCCGTAGCTAGAATAACCCATCAACATACTCATAACCAGAAACCTTGCAAGCAATCAACTCTGCAACCCTATAACAAGCGGTGGGACTCTCCCACTTAGCTTGAAGCCATAATTTCACCAATCTGGAACTCACTCATCCTTTTTATCCCTTATAGACATAACTTTGCACAATCAACCGCCAAAATTCTCGAGATCTCTCTGTAAACCTCTTTCTTATACTCTAAATCATCCACCACATTTGCACGATCGATTCCTTCGCTACATACCCGATAAGATTCTTCGCAGAAGCCTCGCCAACCACGCGACTGCTAATCTGCTCACTTGGCTAACCCACCTATAGAAGGCTCTCCCCGGCATCTTCCAACACTGCTGCACAGGGTACAATTACTACGACATCAATGACCCTTCCTGAGTCTGAGCTCACACTCCAGTTGCACAGGTCCATTTTACCCCCTTGTGGACATCATTGAAATGTGCGACAACATCCTCTCAATTCAAAGCCATGCTGCCTCCTTCTTCCTTCAAGCGGCTCCTTTCCGTTATATTAAACCTCCGGCCGCACAAGAACCCCTACTTCAAATTGAATTTGTAGACCCCAATCACCAGTCACTAATATTATCAAATCACTCCAAACTCTCCTTAAGGTACGTGGTCCTTCCACTGCAAGCCCATATACATCTCCGCCACTCTCCCACTTTGGCGGAACTCATCCCCTTAAACAACTACTCAACCTTTGCTTCCTATACCTGGCTTTTTAGCAATTTGAAACTCCGCATGACACTTCCCACGTGTCCCCCTCGTCTTTTGCTGCTCAATTGTTGCCTTGATAAAATTTATCTTCATAGAACTTAAATCCACAATTTGCTACTAACCCCAAACTTTTCCGAAGGTCATCTTCCTTGAGCCGCCACATTTGAAATACTGATTCAATCCAAAACCACCGCACCCTGCGATATATGATAGTTGCATCTCCGATACTATTTCACAATATCTTGCCCCAGGGGCAAATCATAGAAGATCATAACACCGATAAACTTAATACGTCCAATTAGGACAACAACAACCCCATATAGAGGAGAACTCCGCCACACTGGCAATTACCACGTTTCATTACTTCCACTAGTCCACATCTGACCATTCTTAGTTCAATTGACTTTCCCCTGCTAGGAATAAAATACTGAACCCCTTTGATTACACTCTGAGTAAACCTCCCTTCAATTCATTCACTGCCCCGACACGTGGGCAAACATCCCACCATCACAACAATACTACGGGATAGTCGCTCATAAGCATTATGGTAACCTGTGCCTAGCCTCAAGGCTCTCAGAAGTTCTGTCACGGAGCTAAACAATGTAGATTCCTTCCGTAATGCGACTATGATAGTTCAATCAACTATACCGAGAAAATCATCCCGCACCACATTTGCAGTGCCATTGCAATCCTTCCATTTTCGATTTATAACAAGCGCTCGCGTAAGATTGAGTGGAAAGGAATTAAGGCATAAGCCTCAAAGGAATCGAACCGCACGATAAGGAAATCAAGAAGGGAAGTACTCCTAACAGTCCTGCAGCCTCCCGAGGATAAGTACAGACGTCTCCGTACCGATCCACAAGACTCTACTAGACTTGCTCATGACTCGTGAGACCGACGGGAACCTAGGGCTCTGATACCATGTTGTCACGACCCAAAATCCACTAAGGGTAGTGGTGGCGCCGGACACCTCTGTCAGGCCAGCCAACTAGATTATCAATTAATTCCTCTTTTAATACTTTTGAAAATCTAAGGTTTTTCCTTCCATTTTCATAAATAAAAGTTCACTACTTGAATTCAAATTTAAATAATGACAATTAGTACAAATCCGTTGAAACCCATCCCAGAAACCCGGTGTCACAAGTACATGAGCAACTATCGATAAGGAAAGTAAAATACAACATCTGTCCGAAATACAGTGGACAGGGAATAAATAATAAAATGCTGAAAGAAACTACACTGGCTGCGGGTCGTCTCGAACAGTGCAGCTCACCTAGTCCCAGAGTCGTCCGTGCTGCTATGCCCAATAGGCTGCTAGAGGTATATATACCTGTGCAACAAAAATGCACAGAAGTGTAGTATGAGTACGTAATCAACGTGTACTCAGTGAGTATCCCGCCTAATCTCGGAGGGGTAGAGACGAGATGGCCAACTCCAACACTCAGTAGAGGTCAATTAGTATTGTTCTATAAGTGCGAGGAAAATCATGGATTTGTATAGAAGTTCTGATTGTGAAGCCAGAAAAAAAACAGGTAAACACCTTCAACAATAAATCCAGGGCTTCTAAAGTTTGTTCTTTATTATCTTATCAGTTTATATCAGGCCACGTAGGGCCAATTCCACGTTTAAAATTTTCAAGTAACAGATAAACACGCGCAAATCATGCCGAGGTCGACAGCCCGCTCCAACAGAAATGTAAATTGTGCACTGCCGAGGGTTGAGCGGCACGAACCATATATGCATCTATTCTCACCGAGGCGTTCGGCCCGTTCCATGAATAAACACATATCCTGCTCGCAAATCATCCATGCGACGCAGGCACACATAAAATACATGCTCAAGTAGGAAATTAAGAGTTTATCGAGGATAATCATCCAAATAGACAAGTTTCTCTTTTTTTTCTAACATTTCAGGGAAAATTAATATTTAAATCTCTTTTTAAATTCCTTTACCAATTCTAGGTGATTTAAACAATTCCACTATCAATGGGTTCACAGTAATCCAAGCATAACATGCTTTTTGGGTTCTAGACTACCCGGACAATAGCATAATAGTAGCTACGCACGGACTCTCGTCACCTCGTGCATACGTAGCCCCCACAAATAGGAGCACATAATCAATTTAACTCACCTATGGGGTAGTTTCCCCCTCACAAGATTAAGAAAGGAGACTCACCTCGCTCCGAAGACTCATAACGGCATCACATCTCGAGCTGACCGACGCANTTGTTAGAAATTCAAATTATACAGATTCTCAACTCCACTTAGTGAAATGACCAAAATGCCCTCGAGCCCACGTGCCCGGAATCCGAAATTTTTCGAAGATGAAGCTTACCCATGACTTTACTAGCTCAAATATACAATTTACTCCTAATTCCATGCTCAAATTCGTGGCTAAATTCCAATTTATAAATTTCTAGGTCTTCTTCTAAAAACACCAATTTCCCCACAATTTTCATGCTTAAATCCATGATATAATCTTGTATTTAACTTGGAAATGAGTAGGAGTAACTTACCTTGACATAGATGACGAAATCCCTCTTTGAAGCTCTCCAAAAACCGCCAAATGAAGTGAAGAAAAGGGGTGAAATGAGCAAAATCCAACTTTAAAACAACCCCTCTGCCACCAGCGATTTTCGCACCTGCAGTGCATTTTCCGCTTCTGCGGATGTCGCTTCTGCGACTTTTGGCCGCTTCTGCGGCTTCCTTGGGCCTGGCCCCTTCCGCTTCTGCGATATCACTTCCGCAGATGCGGTCCCGCTTCTGCGGAACCTTGACCGCATCTGCGGTCCACGAACCTTCAAACAATTCCGCTTCTGCGGCTCCCTCTACCGCTTCTGCGGTCCCATTTCTGCAGAAGCGGAAATACCAGCAATCAGCAAACCTCAGCCTTCCCAAAAATCCATTTTCGATCCGTTAACCACCCGGAATCCACCCGAGGCCCCCGGGACCCCAACCAATCATACCAACCAGTCCCAAAACACAATACGGACTTGCTCGAGGCCTCAAATCATAACAAACAACGCTAAAGCCATGAATTACACCCCGATTCAAGCTTTATGAACTTGAACTTTCCAACTTCTATTTCCGATGTTTAAACCTATCAAATCACGTCCGATTGACCTTAAATTTTGCACACTAATCATATTTGACATTACGGACCTACTCCAACTTTCGGAATTGGATTCCGACCCCGATATCAAAAAGTCAACCTCCGGTCAAACTTTCCAAAAACCTTTAAATTTCTATCTTAGCCAAATGGCTTCAAAATGACCTACGGACCTCCGAATTCACTTCCGATCGCGCTCCCAACTCCAGAATCACCATAAGGAACTATTCCCAGACTCGGAATCCCAAAAGGACATCGATAACACTGAAATGCACTTCAAGCCAAACTTAAGAAATTCCTTGTAAAATGCTAACTTCCACATTAGGCGCCAAAACGCTCCCCGGTTATCTAAAACCCGATCCGAGCACACCCCCAAGTCCGAAATCATCATACGAACCTGCTGGAACCTTCAGATCCCGATTCTGAGGTCGTTTACTCAAAATACCAATCCTAG